ATGATCTGCTCTATAATCCTTCACTCAGTTCACAATAAAAAAGTTAAAAAGAAGAAGAGGAGAAGGAAGAAGAAGACGATGATGGAAGGAATACACAGAATCACTGTACTAAAAAGAATTGGTTGAAGTTCAGCCATTTCAGGAAGTAACACATGATCAAGAACCAATAATACTGAAATAGGAAGATGTTCAAGCTGTACTGAAAGCATTGGTAAAGCACGTTCCAGGAATTCATGGAATACAAATGGAAAATTTTCAATCAACTCATGAAGAATTGGAGGTGGTCTTCATCTATGCCAAGACATTTAGAAGACAGCTAATCTGCCAAGCAATTGGAACAGATTCATATTTGTATATATTCCAAAATTGGTGACCCAACAGAATTGGGAAATCGATGAACAGTATCATTATTATCGCACAAAAGAAAAACGTTGCTGAAGATAATTTTTTAAAAGTTACAGTAGTACATCAACAGGGAATTCAAACCAGAGTGAGAAGAAGACATGTTGTTGCTGTCAAGTCAATTACAACCCATAGTGACCCTGTATAGGGTTTCCAAGGAGTGACTGGTGAGCTCGAATTACCGACCTTGCAGTTCAAACCAACTTCACAGTCCAGCACATTAAACCACAGTACCACACCAGGACTCCAAGAAGAAGACATAGAACTAGGGATATCAGTGTTGGCACTAGATGGATCTAGGGTGAAAGCAGAGAATACCATAAAAAGATGTACTTTTGCTATATTGAGCAAGCAATGGCTTTTGTTGTATGGATCATGTCAAATTATGGAGAACATGGCATAGAATAGTTATTCCAGAACACTTGATTTTGCTCATAAGGAAGCAAGAGGCAGTTGTTCGACAGAACAAGGGGAGACTGAATGGTTTAAAATCAGGAAAGGTGTATACCAAGATTGTATCCTTCTACCATACTTTTTTAGTCTGTATGCTGAACAAATAATCCAAGAAATTGAATTATATGAAGAAAAATGTGACACCAGGATTAGAAGAAGACTCATGAACAACCTGAGATATGCTGTTGATACAAAAATACTTGCAGAAAGCAAAGAGAACTTAAAACGTTTACTGATGAGTATCAAAGACTGCAGCCTTCACTATGGATTG